CAGTATGCCCAGACTTACTGACCCCGGAGTAGTTCTTGCTTTTCCTTGCTGGTTCTTTACTGGGGCTTGACACTGCTGTTGGGAGGAAATACTCCCCTGTTGGAGTTCTTCCAGCCAGGATGCAACGATCTGCACAATTTAATAATGAAGCAGAGCTGCTGGAAAGAAGCTTTTAATGACAAGGAACCAAGATGAGTGGCATTCAGCAAGGCTTTTTGGCTAGCTAAAATGATTGACATTCAAATGTGAGTTTACATACCCTTACATACTGAGTTTTGGTCTAAAACTGGGTTTTGGTGAAATTTAATTCTGTGCTTGGTGATGTTTAATCCTGTGTTTATTGAGGGGATAATTTTCCCTATTCAGCTTTATTTGGAAGGGAAAAGGTTACTCTCTCTTCCTGAAAAGAAGCAGGGTTCAGAAATCTGGCTAATTTCTGTGTCTATTTGTTCTGGTAATTGGTTTAACAAGTAACAGTTACTGTGTTTGCTCCTTTTCTACATTCTAGTGCTAACCTGCTTTCTTGTTAGGCTTACCTCAAGTGTTTACACTTGAGCTTGCTGGGCTGTGAGCTCTGGAAATGAGTTTTTGTGTTTAGTTTTAAAAGAATTTAAATTGTTGTGATTGAATTATTTGTATTGTGTTTGAATTTTTTTATGCCTCATGGTTTCATTTTCTATCTGGGGAGGGGGCTTTCCCTGCTTTAGTGGTTCTGGCACTGTCTTTTTGGGGTATACTTCCAAGAGGCAGGATGCATGCTTTGCACTGATTATTTTACTGACTTTTGGGGGGCATGTGATATTTCCTTAAATCTGGACAATTCCCTTAGGATATCTTGTGATGTGAGACCAGCTGGTATCTTTAAGTGATGCAAATGGATCTAAGGATTGCTTCTCCTGGGTGTGCTTTTTTTGGAGAGCTTAAATAACCTCTCTGCTGCTAAAGGGTTTCACTTTATGAGCAAGGTTTGGCTGCTGATAATTATCATTGAATTTTAACCATTTTAATTCCTCAAGGTGCTCTGGCATCCTGCCTGTTTTGTAACTCCAGCTTGCAGGTATTTCTATTCCAGAGTTGGTATTCAGCAGGTCTGACCAATTGGAGAACCGGTAGTGGAAATTTTGAGTAGTTTGGAGAACTGACAAATACCACCTCTGACAGGAGATTTTACAATATCTTTCCCCTGCCACGCCTACCAAGCCATGCCCACAGAATCAATAGTAAAATATTTGAATCCCACCACTGTTCTAATCTAATGATTGGTATTTAGAGCAACTTTAGGTGACATTTATGGCTGCTTATTTTGTTTCTACTACTAATAAAGAAATGAGTGAAAAAACATCATTTTAATAATTATTCCTGAGTTGTGTGTGTGTAAAGGCAGCACTGATCACTAATCATAACAGCACAAGAACAGGCACTAAGCACCAGATCCATAGAAGCAGGGATATACTACACTAGATAGAACCCAAGTAGATCAGTGTCTCTCAGCTGAAAGATATATGGACTTTATCTCCCAGAATTTTCCAGCCAGCCATCAAGGAGTTTCCACAGAAGATTGTGGAAAACTATAGCGCTAAAAATCTGTAGGAGTTCCAGATTCAGAAGGACAGGCAGCAGGCAGGTATTAGATAATCAGTAGACAAATTAATAGACAAAGACCAGAAGAGCTCAGGAGGCCAGGCAAGCAGGGCAAGGCAAGCAGGGTGAGGAAAGGCACCCCTCAATGTGAGTGATGTGGAGTTGGCCATACCCATTCACTCACATGACCCAGCCATGCCCACAGAACTGGTAGTAAAAAAAATTTGAATCCCACCACTGCTTGTAATGAATTATATACAGCAAGATAATTTGGCTTTAATTACAAGAAAAACTTCAGATAGGAAAAACTTGACTAGATCTGTGAAATGGAAGGTTAAAATTAACCAGAACTTAGCCCTTGTTTTCACATATATCCAGAGATTCTGGACCAGTTCTGGAGAACCAGTAGCAGAAATTTTGAGTAGTTCAGAGAACCAGCAAATACCACCTGTGACTGGAGATTTTACAGTATCCATCCCCTGCCACGCCCACCAAGCCATGCCCACAGAAGTGGTAGTAAAAAAAAATTGAATCCCACCACTGCATATATCCATATACCATGCTTTCTTCCCTCAAAATTAATACCTATCATCAACTTTCTTAAAACACATTTTGATTCAAAAACTAATGAGACTTCTAATCCAAATAAATGTTTTATCCTATATAGTTAGAAATGCATTGAACAGCTTTACAACTTTGGGTTTGGAAGAAAGAAGAGTTTTTGTTCAGCCCAACTTTCCTAAATCCCAGTAATAAAGACACAATCAGTCCAGCTATGCCAGAGTTTAAATGGACTGATTCCATGAAAAGATTTGAATACACTTTGTAAGTATAAATTTAAAATCATAAATTTAAAAAAACAAAAATCAAATAACATTTAATAATGATTTAGCTAGGTTTCAGAATAAAATGTGGTATTACCCAAACTTACATTGTTTTATATTTTAGAATAATAATTTTATTTTTCTCCATGGCACTATAAAGGTTGGACTCAGGACAAATTCAGATTAAAGTATTTCCAATGGACTTTAGTATATATTTCTGTATATGGTTCTTCAATTCTTAACTTAATACAGAAAAAATGTCTGCACCTTGAAGATACTGACTTAAAAACAATGTTCTTTACTGGGAGCTTTCTAAATAAAAACACAATATTCCAATATTCTAACCTAATGTAAAAATTCAACACATCCATTCTTAGAATGTAATGTTAAACAAATGGGCCAAACTCTGCTTATGGTCAAAACATTTCATAAAAGTTTAATAGAAACTTTTTGAATAACATCATGGTATACAGAAGTTAAGACAGGGTTGTAAAACTCCAGGCCTGGGAGCCAGATCTGGCCTGCAGGGTACTTAAATCTGGCCCGCAGGGTTGCCCTGGAAACAGTAAAAGACTGGCCCACGATACCTTTGCCAGTGAAAATGGAACTCGAGAGGGCCATGGGTGGCCCTAGCAAGCTCCATTTTCACTAGCAGAGGTTTACAGGGGTTGGCGCAGCCAAAAATGTAGCTCGCAAGGACCATGAGCTCCGTTTTCACTGATAGAAGGTTGCAGGAGGCCATCGCAACCAAAAATGGAGCTCAGGATCATAATAGCACAATGGAGTCAGTTTTCAGAGTGCTCAGGCTAGCACAGGCACCCCCAACACAAGTGACATTGAGCTGGCCATGCCCACTCTGTCCCCCCAAGGTCAAACACAACCCTGATGTGGCCCTCAATGAAATCGAGTTTGACACCCCTGGGTTAAGATGCTGAATTAGAAACAAGGAAACTAGGTTTTAGTTCTTCTTAGGCGTGACACCTAGTTGGATGACTTGGGCCAGTCAGTCCTAATTAGTATCAGAGTTGGTAGCCTTATTGCTTGATCAGTTGATAAGCTTCTCTAAGAACAATATATTTATTAAACAAATTCATATGGCAGAACAATTCACACACAGATGACTCTGAGCGATTGACAATATTAAAAATCCACAACATAAAAACCTTCTCATAATGAATATTTTATGGTACTCTAAGAGCAGATCATAAAAGTTATCTTCTCATAAAAAAGAAGTTTAAAACAACATAAATGTTCACATTCTATGATCCTTTCATAAATTTAAAAAATTAGCAAGCAGATTTACTATAGATTTAATGAATTAAATAAAGGTCAAGAATCAGACAAGGATATTTGCAGATATCAGTTAATTAGTTTAAATTTCTCATAACCAGAATACCAGTGTCCCAAATTGTGAGGTAACAATTAATATTTTTAAATTCTGCAAATATATGTAAATTTAGTCAGAATAAATAAATATTATCTTTTAGATTTAAAAAGTCATTTTTCCTTGAAAGCACTTCACCCAGCCCTCACCTGAAAAAGCAAAGCTCTCTTCAAACTACATAAACACATTATTAAAGCCAGCTAATTATGCTCTTCCAAAATAAACACTAAAGATGCATGAAACCAAGTTTTACTGTTGCCTTTTATTTCAATGTTCTCTTCATTTTTGCCACTTAATACTTATTTGTGGTAGCAGCTGGTAAGCCTACTCAATAGCTGCAGAACTTCTTTTGATCAACATCTATAGATATAATGCAGTCTTGGCCTAGTGAAACACAAGAATGAATTCTAAAATGTCATTGGCTTTTTAAACCTATATTTGTAATACAGGCACTCTTTTGCAACTGAATGGCTCTGAAGATTAATACGTGTGCAAAGGCTCTTTTTCATTTCAGTTACTATTAGATCAAATAAAAGAACCCATCAGGAATAACTACTAGTTATTGCTTCTTAATGAATGTGAAAAGTTAGCTGATTTCAGTTCAGTAAATACTGAAAGAAGTTTCATTACTACTAAAGCACTTTCAGCTTATTTTAAACTATTGAGGGTCATATCTACACTGTAAATGATTTAACAGTAATATTTTCCCTTCTGTTCCTTCTGCACATTGCAACAGTATAGAGAATTGTAATTAATGAGAAAGTCTAAGATATCTAGCAGATTACTTTCAGAAACCCAATACAATGCCTGTTTTCCAGGTTCCTTATGAGAAGCAATGCCAGAAGTTAGTAGTGTAGATCAGTGGCCCCCAACCTTTTTTATGCCACGGCCCAGTACCGGCATCACAAAATGATCTGCGGCCCGGTACCGGCATCAGCACGCATGACAAGGCAAGGTGAGCCAAGCGTCCGGCCAGCCAGCCATCCCCCGCTTCTCCCCGCCACCTTCAACTCCTCCTTTGTACCTTTGTCGATGGGCTTCGCTTCGGGACAGCTTTGGGACGGTCGCTCGGCTCGCCTTGCCTTGGGTGCTGAAAGAATCCTCGCATCTTAGTTTCGTTCGAAGCCCCCCCCTTCGATGAAACTAAGGCGCGAGGATTCCTTCAGGACCCAAACGCCGCTTTCCAACCAGAAAAGCTCACCCGGAAGCACTTTCTCGTCAAACAAGATGGCGGCGCCCAGCAAACCGGCGGCCCAGTAGGAAATGTTCCACGGACCGGTACCAGTCCGTGGCCCAGTGGTTGGGTACCCCTGGTGTAGATGATGCACGGCTAGACTTTTAATTTCAATTACTGTACTGCATATTTCAGTGAGATGTCCCTTAATTTTTTATAATTATCAGTAAATTAATACCATTAGTTTTTCCAAATGAAGTTAACAAATGAAACTATGTTTAAACCTGACACTCCCCCCCAAACATTTCCATCTATTTGTTTTGCCAGTCATAGCACAAGTTGCATTATAAAGACAAGAACATGAACACTGGAACAAGAATATGAAAAAATAACTTTAAAATCCATTCAATTTTCAACTACTGCTCCATAAAAGAATCTTGAGCTATAACCTACTACATGCAAAACCAGTCAAACGAGCTCCTGCTTTCTCAGTTTAAACTGCACTGAATCCAAATGTTAATATCTAATAATATCATTTTGAGTGAACTTCCAATGACCCTCACAAAAGGAAAATTCCAGAGCTCACATACTGTACAGGATTTGAACAAAGTTGCAGAAACAGTTATTGAACCCAGGGATCATTTACAAACATTTTCATTTAGCACCTCATAATTATAATAATTTAACAAAAGGTATGATTCTTTCAAAATGAGCCCAAGAAAACAGCTCAATTGCTTAAACAGAAGCACTTTTCTGAGTCAGAGGACTTACTGGAGCCTAAATGATCATTTCTGGATGTTTAGGGTTGACAATACCATACCCTATTCCCTCTGCTTCCTGGATTCCTGGTGGGCTAATGAAGGTGAACTGGTTTCACGATATTGCTCCCAGCACAGCTCTGAGCATTTATGATATCATCAGCCACAGCACAGAAAGCAGTTTCATGAACTCAGCATCTGGCAGATAAGCAAAAGAGAAGTTGATTTTCCAGAATATCCCTTCCGTTCTATTCTCTAACCTTATTATAAAATTATAATGACACACCTTGTACTTTCTAGTTATATATTCATAGACACTACTATACTATATGGTGTCTCAGCATAAAGCATTCAAACACATTAGATAAAGGGTGTTTTTTTTGCAAATACAAATACCATGTGCTTAATGCAATATATTTATTAACAGAAATATAATTTTAATCACTGAGCTATTTTCCTTACTCTTTTGATCATAATATTCACAACAGCTAGAAAAACAATGCAACACTTTAGAAATACGCAGATACAAACCATTTAGAAAAATATACCTTACATCATATGTAAGAATGTCCTTTCTACTCTTGGAAAGTTTTGACTAACATGGAAATAAAAGGATGTTTCAAACCCTGCTCACAAAGTATAACTTGTAAATATAAGTTCTTAACAATAAGGGCAGGCAATTTGTTAGACTAAAAATAAGAGGAAAGATTTTCAGGATTTTGATGTTTTAATCCTATGCTTTCTACGGTTTCCTGCATTGCATAGAAATGCCACAGATTTACAATGGTGTATAAGATACGTTTCATTTATCTAACCTTGAGTTTATATTTTACTTCTCTGCCAAGGAATGACATTTAATTAGTTAACAAAATGCAAAATATATTAAAGAATCATCTTAAAATAACATTTTTGTCAAAGCACAAAGATTTTCCATTCTCTTTCAAAATGTATTCACACAGGGCATTGAATTATTTGTTCTTTATACTGGGGTTGTTGGTAGGGGGTGGATGGGAAGCATAAATACATCTCTTTTTCCTCCAGCATTCATCTATAATCAAAGTAAACATGCCCAAGCATGCCTGTAATAATTAAGTATGCCATGTCTTAGGTAACACTATGTTCAAACAAGGCTTAAGATATGGCGCAATTGTAATGCTCCAGATCCTTTAACTATTTTTAATGGATTATGAAGCAGTTTTCTTTTCTTAGGTATAAAAGGATGACTTTCAAGTAATTGCTTTAACCTTAGTTAAGAGATATGCCCCTAACAAGAAGCATCAGAGTTAACCAATATCCACTCTTAACCAGGATACTGAAATTAAGTCTTGAAACGAACTGAGAACTCCAGTTAAATGCAATTAGAAGTCTTATTGTCTTTCATTGTAGTTAAGTTTTCATGATAATATTAGTAATGAAATAAGTATTATTTTGACCAACTAATGGAAATTAGTAACATTCCTATCAGAAAAAGAACCCAATCTATGTTTCATTAAAGGTTTGAATAATACATACTTGTTAGTGCCAAACTGATTTCTTTCAAAAACTAAATTTGATTTTATGTAAATTTTAGATAAATTTGATTGAAATTTGCACGGGATAAAAATAGATGAGTATGGAGGATCCATTAATTCAATACTAATAATTAAATCATGAGTCAAGGGAAAAGATTTTGGGGCAATCTGGTCAGGTTTTCTTGAACTGTATTCTAAAAGAAATAAATATAATAATAAATTTAAATAACAATTTTAAGGCACTTGTTGAAGAGAATTCAGAAGCTGCAATTGGTACGAAGTGTGGCAGTGGGAGCAGTTATGTGAACTCCAGAATAGCACGTTATACCTTTGTACCATGTGCTCTATTAGTTATTAGTTTTGCTTCTGGGTTCAATTCAAAATGCTGGTTATGATTTTTAAAGCCCTACATGGCTTGGGGCTGAGTTATTTGAGGGCCTCTCCCTTCAATTACATCCATCAGCTCTGGCAGAAAATGTGTGCTAAAAGTCCTGTCTATTAAGGAGTTTTGTCTAATGGATCTAGGAGAGCCTTTTCTGCCTGCCACTTGCATCATCTCCCTTAAGGTTACAGTGGCCCCAACATTATTGGCCTTTAGGGGGAGCCCTAAAATGGTTTTGTAATCAGACACAGAAATCCCATAGTGGTAAGGAGCCAGTAAGATGGCTGTATTGTTTACTGATACTCTCCTGTATGTTACATTTTATAATTAATTATTTTTAAATTGCCTTACTTTGTTTCCACTGTTATTTTTTTGTTATTTATTTGTATATATTTTGATTTTTGTTTTTAATTTTGTGAGCCACACATGTGATATGGGCAATTAATATCTGTATAATATCCTACTCAATACATGTATTTTTCTTTAATTGCTCTTGTTATTTTCTTTGGGGGCAATAAATAAAAAATTGCATGCATTTTATTTTGCACAAGAAATCTAAAAAGTTTTCAGTAATGAAGGAAAAAACTTTGTATACACTTTCAATTGTGTTAGAATACTACCTGAGAAAGGATCTGGTTAAGACAACATGGACAAAGTTACCAAAAATCTCAAAGTACATGAAAACAATACTATATACAGTACTTATCTTAGAATACCGACCTGAATTAGAATAATTTTATTTGAAAATGTGTATTATATGTCAGAAAGCTGGTCAGTAAGAAAGTATACAATCTATATTTTATATGTGGTTTCTGGATCTCAACATAATTAACTAGCATGATTCATATATAATTATCATTTTCTAGTAATTTCTATGTTGCACAGCACTAATCACTCTTAAATCAACAGAGGTGTTTATATCAAGGGTATTCCCTTGTTTAGAAAGAGCAAAATGGGCAAATTTTGTTTAACTCATAAAAAACTATTCATATATACTAGACTGTTTAATACAATCTTTCCCACTGAAATTAGTGAGATTGCTACATGGTTTAGGATTAAAATCTACTCCTAAAACTACATTAATAAAATCATAACTTCTAAAAGTCTAATAAAATACATTTAGTCAAGAAATTATTTGAGTTAACCTTTAAAATGGAAATATCAGTTCACTCAATGATATGTTAGCATTTAATGGTCAGTCTGTCTAGAAATGTAAAAGAGTGTACAAAGGAAAGCATTTATTAACAAAAATGTTATTCACTGGTTTCTATTTTGATGAGAGGAATGAAGGGAAAATATGGCAACATGATGCTGGACTAGAAGCAAGGAAACCCAGTTTTTTGTCTTTGCATATATATATGGAAGACAGGTAGGTGATTTTGGGCTAGTGTACTAGCACGAACTAGATCAGGCGATAGATTTTAATCTATAAACTTCAATGAAGACGGATTCATTCTGAATATTGTGCAACATTCAAGCCAATAAAATAATTATTTATATATAGGGTGTGGATTGGTGTACACATGCATGAGAAGTGATGAAAAATCACTGATCCGTTATATATAAACAATAAACTGCTTTTTCTATCAAGTTATTAGCAGTAATTAAATTTACATTTGAAACCATCTTCTAAAAGAACAGGAAGTACTTTCTTTGATACTTTATGTACAGAAAAACTGTACAATAGGAGTTCCAGGTTAAGATTTAATGCCTAATCAAATTCAATCAGTTTATTTTTGTGCCAAAAATAAGGATGGCTCTATATATTACAACGCTACATTTTTCCATGTAGTTATTGATTTTGTAATTGTTTGTAATACGTTTTTTAAGAAATATGGTTAGTCATGTTCTTCTGCTGGAGACAATTAAAATTCAAAATAATTATTCCTGTTGTATGAATAACAGTATTAAGTAATATTAAACATAAATTCCTTCTGGGAAATTTAAACTTTTATTAATGATTAGCAAACAATAGACAATGAAGCTTGCTGTGATACAGTCTGTCCAGAGTAATCAGGCCTGATATAGAGGCCTTCATAATCTATCATGCCTTATGTACTTTGAATTACTCTTGAGAAATAGATACTATGCTCCTTTATTCATATACTAGAAATGCAGTAGCAGAATAATAGACACAAAACTTTGCAAAAGGCAGAGACAACCACAGAAAATCTGGAATTGAATATCCCAGTGTGGCTGTTTCAGAAAGCTATCTGGTTCAGACAACATCAACTTGTGCCCCCAATTCAAGATGACATTTGAAAAAAATGAAATTTCCTGTCTGTCACTGATCAGTTTGAAAAATCCCCAAATAGCTATAGCCTAATTACAGCCTGCCTTGATCTATACACTCCTTCCCTAAATAGCATGGATTTCAGCTTCCAGAATTCTCAGCAATACTAAGTTGACTGAAAATATGGGAAACTTGGTGCACATTTTTGGAGAGCCTCCAAACTGAATTAATAAATCCTTCTCCTTTAAAAAATGAGAGAGAGAAAGATGATATTAGGAAAATGATCATTTTAAACTAATTTGTTTAAGAGCTTATAATTCACAAAATAATGTATCTTTGTAGATGAAGAGTAATGCAAGATTATACCCTCCCAACATTCCTATTAGTCCTACTCATCCTTGTGATTAGAATGTATCATTTTGTGATTAGAAAATAGCTTGGTCAATCACTCAGCCTCTATTCCTTTTTTTCCCCATCCTCACTTTACAAAAGTAATGTGGGAGGGAAACATACTATATTTGCTTTTTTTTCCAGTGCTCTAAAATGCAAGAAGCACATGAAGCTTAAAAATAGTATCATTATGATTGCTTTGGTGGTATCCTACTATTAAGCAGAGCTAAACAATCCATTTAAACTGGTTTGATTCCATTTTGGATTAATTTAGATCTGATTAATTCATCCCAGCAAACATGTTTCAAAGTTCATGTAAAATTTTTATGTAAAAAAATTGGCTTCTATAGCTATTTGATCATATTATAATTTTGTTGGTTTGCCTAAAATGTAAGAAAGGCCCATACTATCAAAAGGACAGCATGGTCTAACAATGGCAACTGTTTTATAATGATATGGTGTAACTACATACTGTAGCATTATATACTGGACTACATCTATATTTTTCCCATACATGGCCCTCAAGAGAAACTTGGTCCATTGTAATGTGGAGCTTGACAAACAGTAGCACCTCCTGATGACATATTTTTATTCATCTAGATTGGCAGTCAAGAATAGGCCTTCAACAATGAATACTGAGAAACCATAAATCATTTCCCTCAAAACTAGAAAGAAATCTGAGTAGGTTTAAGTGCAATACTCCTATGAGAAGTGGTTACATAATAGATCAGAGAAGTCAAGAAACTAGCATATGCACAATAAGTAAGAAGTATGCAGACTTAACTATTCTGTAAAGATAATGTAAGAATAAGGATTCATCTTGGTATTGGACTGAGCCAACTAGCTCAGGATCGTAGCATTTTTAATGTTCTACTTGAATAAGTAAAACATAATTTAATGAGTGGTGAGTACAGTCTGTTAATGCCCACTTGATATATTTGGGGTCAGGCATATAAATTGTGTTATGTAATCTTTAGTTTTATGTGTCTTTCTGTGAATTAATTATTATAATTAATATTTTATAAAAGATAAGAGTTACACCAAGTTATTAAGAAAAGGTGTACCCTCATAATCATTGCATAAACATTCTCATACTAAAAGACATCTAAAATATATCTGCAAATTAAGATTAATTCATAATGTAGAAATGACGAAAATGCAAAAAGAAATACTCTAGATTTACACTAGACTTTGAATGCCCAAAAGCAATTTTTGGAGCGGGATTCCATTTCCTGATTCACTTTCCAGGTACACTGTTTATACACTATTAAGGCAGGGCTTTATTTTCCAAAGAAAAAGATATTTAAACTCTGCCTTTGAGTTATAGGTTACAAAAAATATAAAATGAAAGAAAGAATCTATTGGGACTCTCCAAAGATAAGAACCAAGAAAGAGGCAACCAATTGCTGAGGCATACCATCTCAATAAGCTTACAAAGTACTACTGCACAGCATAAAGCTTGCACAAAAAGCTTTTCAAAGCCCAGTATTTTAATTAATGGATAATATGAGTTGGCTTATATCATAGTCAATCCAAATTTCAAAGAGACGCCACTAAATTTGTTTCTGGTATACGGCCGTTGGTCCTCCCTCTTCTCACTTCCTAGATCTTTTCAACCTATCCCTTTGCTCCTGAACCCAGGTTTCCGAGGCTGAAGGATGGGTTCGTTTTTCTGTCCCTTTGGAGAAAGGGCTGCTAGTTTGACAGGTGGGAAACGAGTCCAAGCGCTTTGATATCTCCTCGATTTCCGCTGAGCTTTAAATATTGATCACCTTTGTTAAATCCCTTTTTCGGAGACTGTCCTGTTCGCTCCTTCCCATCCCCTCCCTCGCCTTTCCTGGGGTTGGAAGTGAGCAGCAGCTGAACAGCCAAGCATGTGGTGTATAAATATTGGAATAAACGAGCGGGGTGGGGGGTTGTGAGAAGAGGGGGTAGGGGAAATATATGGAAACAAGAGGGGAGGAGGAGGAGATAAGCGGGGTGGGGGGCGAGCAGCCCCAGTGTGTCTGGTACTCCGGTGTGGGGCGCTGCTCTCCGGGAGTAAAGAAGGGGAACAGCATTAGAAAAGGGATGGGGGGGGGAGAAAGGGGTGGGAATATAGTAGCATTTAAAACAACAACAACAACACAAGCCAACAACAGTGATTAGCTCCTACCCGTCGCACAGGGACTGGGAGGGAACTGTTGTGTGTCTCACCTGACTTCCTTCTTCCCCGGGGCGGCGAGGGAGGCAGCGAGAGGCGCGCACATACCACTCTTCCCAACGAAAAGCAGCCTTCCCCCCCTCCAAAAAAAAAAAAAGCCCTTAAAGACGAGAAGGGAGAAGAAATGGGAGGCGCAAGCGGGCACGAGAGAAGAAAGAAAAGACTATAAACAAAAATAACCGGCCGGTAGAAGCGAGCCGGCCACCCTCCCGGCAGCCTTCTTCAACCCTTCTCATTTCGCTCCTTGGAACCCGCGCGCTGCTTCTTCCTTCGCGCTAGTCCAGGGACTGGCGGCGGCGGTAGCGGCAGTGGCTTGTCTCGGCTCGGCTCCTACACCAGCGCGGGCAAGTCTCCGCAAGGGGGAGAGCCAGTGAGCCCAGACGGCTCAAGCTGAGCCTTTTTCTGCTTTGCTCCGACTCCAAAGGAGGAAGAAGGGGGGGGGGGAGAAGGAAAAGGAACGCACCCAACAAACGAACATCAAGAGATCCCGCGAACAGATCTGAGAATTGCAGAAAGGAGACGCAAGCCGCGCTTTTTGGGCAGTTCGTTGGCCCTGGTGTGTGGCAAGAGGGTGGAAAAGGCAGGCGGGCGCCGCCTTCTCGTCGTCGTCTTCTTCCTTTCCTCAGTCACCGCCTGCCAGGCAGTTCAGAAGTGGGGGAGGGTGGAGGGAGGGAGGGTGGCTGTGTGTGGCCCCCCTCCTCCTCCTCCTTCCTTCCTTTAAACGCCCACTGCTGATGGGTGAAAAGGCAACTTGAAGTTCAGTGCAATTAACTTCGCCGGCGCCTGGGAAGCTGAAGGTGTCGCCCAGCCTCGCCCGCCCTCTCGCCGCGCTCTCATGGGTAAGTTGGTCTTCTTCTGTTTATTCCCCCCTCCCCATCCCACCTTCGTTTTAGGTATGCTGCGCCGACCAGTCACTCCCGTTTAACATTTACTCTTAAGGTTTTTTTAGGGACTTATTGTTGCAGACAGTCCATTTTGGTCGGCGATTGACAAAAAGCATGGAAATTAGATGGGGAGTATGTGGATTCCTCTAATATTTGTTCTGAGCTGTCGGGATCGGCTCTTAAGAGGAATCCTTCTAGCCTCCTCTTTCTTTATTTCCAGTAAAGGGAAACTCTACTACGATAGCTTTTGATCTGGTGAAAGCGGCTTGCAGACGCGTAAACACCTGCTTCGCGCACCCTCGTCTAGCCGCCGCCTCCCAAGCCAAGAAGTTTGCAGACGAGGTCCTTGGCAAGTTTGCTTGGCTCCGCCGTTCACTGTAACTCAGAAGTTTGGCTCAGTTCATAAGTTTCAAGCCCGGTGCCCCCGGGGATGGAGGACGAAGGAGAAAAAAGCGCGGGCAAGGGAGAGAGAGGTGCCTGCGGGAAGCTTGCGGAAGGGAGGAAAAATGGTGCGGGGAGGAGCGGGACAGTGAAGGCAAGGGGAGGGGGGCGCGTCAACGCGGCGACGCACTTCGTTCTGCCACCGCGTCGTGAAAGTGAGGGAGTTTTAAAAGATTTCTATCTCGGCGGTTTGTATGACTGGGGAAAGGCTATATCATGCAATATCAGGCAGAGATCAACTTGAGGTGTCTGTTGGCAGAAACGGGCTTGGGTTTTGCGGCTGGGAAGCGGAGAAGGGGGGCATTTGGCCTGCCACTGACCTCCAGAAGGCGGCTCTTCATACAGGTGTATCTCCCTCTCTCCGCGTGAGGTCCTCCTCTCGCTCTCACAGTCCTGCCTCTTTTTTTTTTTACAGGAGGGGGAGCCCGGTGGTCTCCCAGGAGCTAAAAAGGAAATGCAGTTTCCTTTTGATGCTACCCTGTAGCGAAGCTGGTGTTGGGAGATCACTGAAGGGGCAGCTGGATCGCTTGCCTCAGTGGAAATGTTTCTGCAAAGTTACTCGGTATGTGGGCCCTTTTTTGTCGGCGGCGTTTGACCACGTGGAAATAGAACTGTTGCTGACATGTATTATTAAATCGTATCGGTTGTGTTATCTAAAATCAATGCCAACGTTTGGCGTGCTTGTCAAAGCTTCTTACGTTTTTGTCCCTCTCTGAAAAGCTTTGGCAACTTTTGAGATATGTCTCTAAAAAGCTTTGGCAATGACAGCTAATGTGCCTGACTTAAAATGTCTATTTTAGTGAAGAAGCCCTTTGCCTTACTGAAAGCTGCAATCAGTCTCTTTCGGTGAAATGACAGATTATTTTAAGATAACTCTTTTATTCAACCTTGCTTTATTTGATAGGCGAAGCATGAAAAAACATCTAGAATGGAGAACTGGGATCTCTATTGCTATGCCTTTTTGAAAGACCTAATTTAGAAGCCACTCCTTATATTTCCATAATATTATTTAGGTCTAGTACATTCATATACTTCTGCTCCAGACTGCTGGCAGAAATTAGCAAAGAAACTTATATTTTTGACAAATGTGTAGACAAGAATATCATTAATTGATGTATTAAATCTTAACAAGCTACGTATCTGTTACAAAACAAATTTAATATATTTACTGTTTTTCTCACATTGGTAAGAAAGGTTGTGAAATTTGTGTAAAATTTCAATTGTAGTTGGTAAAAGGAAGACTTAATTGCAGCACTCTCTTAAATAAAAAAGAAAGGAATCAATATTAACATAACTCAGGAGCACAGTATACCTCACTAAGTTTAGAAATAGGATAAATTTTGCTTTCTAAATGTCTGCCAGAATTCACGAGTTGGAAGACATCGTGACAAAGGGAAAGATACAAAGCAACACGTAAGAAAATACTTTGGAATTAGAATACACTGTAAATATATTTAGCACTTTGCACCTTACGAAGTAATATAGTTTACAGAAAGCAATGGCTAATAAATTAAAAAGATCTCAAAAAATATTTACTTTATACATCCTAATAAAAACTAGAATGGAAAAACAATACAAATGTACCTGTAATATTGTTTTTTTCTTTTCTTTCTTGGAAATTAAAATATATAACAGTAATTATATGTATTAATGGCTGTTTCTTACTGAAAAAACATGTAAATGGAATGGGCCTAAAAAAGAAAGTTTCCATTTTAATGCATTTAACCATAGATCTTTTAAACTGCATTGTAATTTCTTATGGGAATCTTCTTACAATTGCATAATTTAGAAAAATTTCAGAATTCTACCTATTCCCTAAGGTATATTAATTTGATAGAGATCATACGCCACTTTATTCCAATTCTGAACTGGAGTTTGATATAGAAAAATTATTTTGGCATTCAATTTGTGTTAAGATTTATGCTAGATAAGTAAGCAAAAACTATATATATATAAAACCTAAAAAATATCATTCATTATTAAATGCCTTATGATAACTATATGGTTCCAAATCATATAAATGTAAGGAAGTTCCATTCAATATTCCAAATCAAAAAATGAATACTTTTGTAAACCTTTAAAGAATCTGAAAATTAAATTTTAATAATTCTATTTAATACAATGCTTAAGAAAATTTGGCCTAGCTTATTCATGTTCTTGTGTACCATTGTAAAATAATTTAACTATCTCTGTATTAATAACTATAATAGAGATAATTGTTCTAGTATGAATATATATCATGTACAAAATACCTTAGAATCCAATCTGCTCTGACAAGAGTACTGTATAAATTTTACAAAAATGTCTTCACTAATATATAATGATAGGCAAATTTTCTGTGTACTATTATAGATTTTTAGTTTCCATTAAAAATCCTAATTGCTAAATCGTATGTTCTCTACAGTACGAGGGTCATCAAATAATTATATATTTAAGCTCCATCAAATGTTTAACCTCCTTCACAGCCATGTAGCCTGGAATATATTAGTATCTATTTCTGCTTGGTGAAGCAATAGAAGTTAGGGTTCCTTTGTAAAAAGAATCTTATTTGTTACTTCTATTAACATTCATGACTAACCAGGTACTAGTTGAGAACCGAGCAGTGTTTTGCTTAATTAAATTATGATACTTGGTTTCTAAAGAGAATCCTCATCTGTAAATTATATAATTTTATTATTTTTGTCTACTTGTGTGTGTTTCTGGTGTGTAATATTTCCATAAATGGTCTTGATTTCTAGAATACATCAGAGTATCTTCTGTCAAGTATAAATTTGATTTTACTATAATGGGCACAGGATCTTGGTCATCTTATTGTTTTAAGAATGAACACTTCTGATTTAAACTCATTATGCATCTAGTCTTTATTTATCTTACATTAAACTGACAGAGCATCAATCACAGGAAAACTATTACTTTCCTGAAGTAAATACCAGTTTATAAGTGAGTGTATGTATTTATATCCCTGTCTCCACTAAATAATGGCTCTGTCTTCTTTTTAATATCTACCTGGCAGTATTAACCATGGCAACTGAATTTTCCTTGTTAGCATGTGGAAAAAAAGTTTTTACTATTTATATCAGGAGTAACTTAAGGAAAGATTGCATGGAAATTTGTTTTAAGGAAACAATATCTAAGTGGTGAATCTTCAGAAAAATAACATGACTAGCAAGTTGCACAGTATCTGTTTGAGTTGCTGAAGATAGGGGCAGAAGCATATTATTAATAACTGAAAGCACATATGTGTAAGTGAGGAAAAATGTTCAGCAAATCTGTCATCATGAAGTGCAATGCATTTTAAACAAAAATAAAGTTGCTGCAGTTTGCAAAAACTATTTACAAAGCTAGTTTCTACATTAAGTTAAATTGTATTTTCAAATTTGAGTCTGTGTTTGGTATAAAATACGATTAAATCTAATCCTATTTGTAGTACATATAATAAAACCATCCTATAGGATAAGATAGATTCCTCTTGCAGACTTTGTAGATTCTGTTGAATATATTACATCTTTAGAATAGCAAAACAAATTTAGATTTAATTTACAATTGGAAATAACATTTAGTATTAATTTGTTGACATTATGATTAAGAATTTTTTAAAAAGTACTATATGATCAATGTTCATGCATATTAATATATCTTAAAACATTTAGTCTTTTAATCAGATTACTATGGTAGTGTTCAATAACAGAGAGGCATTTCATTTCAATGAGCAAACTACTATTTTTTTTTAAAGTTACAATGACTAACATCACCTTCAGCTTCCAAAATTCAAAGCTAAAATCCAAATAGCCAAAATATCATCCAGCCAAGTATACCTCCTTGTCTACTTACCTGTGTACCAGTTTATCTATCTTAGTATTTATCTGTTGTAGCTTGTTTGGACACTTCAATTCCAGGGCATGGTATGTTGAATATGTTCACAGCAGCAGATTTGATTTGCATGTAAAATGTAATGTTATCTCCTTATCAAAACTTCAGATTATCAGTGCACAGATAATTTTGTTCACAAAGCAGTCTATACGTGTTAATAATTCTCAACAGTACATTGAGC